ATTCGCGATGTGCCAATCCCCCCAATCCCTATTCTCATAGCTATAAACGTTGTGGTCGATCGAGAACTGCATACAAATTGTTGATATATTAATTGTTTTTATTATATATTATAAATATACGTTGACATATAAATACCTGGCATACTATGAATAATATATAGAACCTGAATCTGAATTCTTCCCACTCAACTAAATTTAATTACTAAATTCAATTTGTATGATTGTATTCCACTACATGACGAGTTTATTGTAGTCGATCCATTTGAAGAAAATCTTGTGATTTTATTAGTAACCAAACTATCTGACTAATTGGTATGCAATTCAATTGTTTCTCTAATAGCTTAACAATTTGGCTTTGTGATTAGTTCCGCCAAGGCGTGATACGATTTGATAAGGGCTTAGGCGTTATTTATTCATTTAATTACATTTTTGTAGCTAAACTAAAAAATCAAGCTACATCTACATACCGTACATGCATTTATTTATATATTTGTACTGAAATTTAATGATTCACCTCACTAGGTAATGCATTCGCTTTTATAGAACCCAACTAATTTCCTGTCTGCAAATCAATTTTCGATTGTTGTTATTGTTGTTGTTAGTTTCAAACTGAATGCCATAAGCTTTCTAGCTTTTCCCCAATAGAGAAGAACAATAAACGAACGAAATTGTATAAGAGAAGAATCGCTGAACCGCAGCCTGTTTAATGCGCAGCTGCATTTCACCTCTTTCCCTCTCTCTTTCTCCCACTCCGCTCCACTCTTTTAGCAGCGTACTTAAATAGCTGCATAAATATCAATTATAAAGCAGAGAATGTAGCAAATAAAGCTAATATGCTGCACAGATAGAAGCTATACCATGAGCCCGATGCTTCAAAACTCAATTACCGGTCACTTAATTACGAAACTTGCACAAAATGAGCGAGACTACAATAACCACTGCAAGTACAAATACAGCTAGAGTTAGAGTTTGAGCGGGAAAGAGAGAGAGAGAGTGAGAGAGTGAGCGCAAGATCGTGAGAGCGAATTCAAAAATTTGCATTCAACAAGTTGAAGTCGCCTCTCATTTTGTGTGGCCCTGAAGCTGACGCCCAAGCTGACAATACATTGCATGCGTGCCGCAGCTTTCGTCTGACCTCTCTCTTTCGCTCCTCACATTCGCACAAAAGCTGGCCACGCAAGTGTGACGCGTTTTGCTGTTGCTCTTGCTGTTGTTGTTGTTATTATTATTGTTGCGAGTATTTAGCCAGTCAACCAAAGCTTTTTAACCTTCTCTTTGCTCTCTCAGGTTATGTAAATATTTCAACGCAAACGTTTTATGCATACATATGCTTATGTGTATGTGTATATGTATGTATGTATGTGCGCGTGTTTACATGTCGTATAGATGGGTGTGGGCGTGGTAGACTTAAAGCATTCTTTCCCTATGCAGCGCAGACAAATTTCGTTTTTTCTCTTTTTTCGGGTCTTGATAATTTTGTCGTAGTTTTATTCATTGGAAGAAGCGCAGCGAACAAAACGAGTGAAACAAAAGCAAAAACAGTAACCAGTTTCAACAGTATTGTTGTTGGCCTGGCTGCGACGGCGACGTCAACGTCGACTTCGACTGCGGCAGGGCTAACGGTGCTTAACGTCACCTACTTTTTACTCAGTTTTTGGTAAATAAAATACCTCAACGGCATGCGGCATATATATGTATGTGTGTGTCCATGTATTTGTGTGAGTGCACATCTAACAGTTAAACCGGTTTACACAAATTGTGCATTGAAAACGAAATGATTTTTATTCCATATTACCATTGAAAATGTGTGAAACGGGTAGCATAAGTTTTTATGGAAATTTTACGTTATGGCTATATGTAGCTTAACATTTATATTTTTAAATATACATATACATATTTATATTTTCATAATAAAAATTAATAATAAATTAATAGTATATCCGTTAATATATGCATATACCAAAAACAAAATGTTGTAAAGAAAGGATAAATTATACTAGGCATCTTCTAGTCGGTCAATTCTTTACTAAGGCACTCTTCCTCTACTTGTTAACAAGAGACACAGCTGAAATATAAGTTGAGTCGCCCCGCTGTTTTTTGGCCGAGTTAGTTCGGCCCAAAAGCCTCCTTTCTGGGAAGAATCCGTTTAATATGGTATCATAAACACACATTTGATGTTCCCTGTCGCTCTTTGATTTAGATTTGCATATTACTTACATAACTCTGCGACATATTTCCCGTAATCTCAATGATAAGACGATCAGACGTGCTTATAAACTAAATTTTTGTAGCCGGAAAAAAAACGATGAACTCAACTTTGTCTTGTTTTTCTTGTTTCTCTATCAACCGAAGAACGCGTCTCATGGCCAACACCAAGAATCTCTACTCTGCGAATTTTGAGTCAATGGGTATATTGTTAATGGTGGTGACCTATACAGACTCTAAATAGATAGATAGAAATATTACGTATCCAAAATCATATTACATCTCATTACAGCTTGATAATATTGGCACAGACGTATTCTATGAATGAAGAAACAAATATCAAATAGTATATTTTATTGACTGCTATCTATTTATAGCCTTTCCGTTTCTAGATATAATATGTTTATATATGTATATCTCTACCTCTGTTCACCTCCAATATTCAATCAATATTTGGCAAAGGTGCTGATGCCCATAGTTAGTCCTCCAGTTTTTTATTGCCAGTTCTATGTTCGATTAGTTTCCAAAGGCAATCACCTCTTGGCCTTTTTTTTCTAGTGCATATCTAACTGGCTTATCGCAATATATGTATTTGAGAACAACTTTGCACGGGTGCCAAGGGTCTCTCGCTTCGGGGGCCGTTCACATAAAGAGTTGCGGAAAATTTGCATAGTTTTCCACCGGCTCAGCTGGGAAACGAAGCTACCGCTGAACGTTTATAAATAATTATATTATACAGCGCCAGCCAACCAGCGACAAGCAACAAACATTTTAAATTACTTTCAGTCACGGCAGGTGCAACAGCAACAACAACAACGATAACAAAAATGCAAAGTTTACAACTTCTGTGAAAATTTGCACTGTGATAAGAGCTGTAAATTTTCCAACTGTAATTTTAAATTAGCAAATGCGCAAAGCAATTAGAAAGAAACTTAGCAAAGTTGTTGTCGTTGTCAGCGTTGTTGTTGTTGTTGTTGTTGTTGTTGTTCTTGTTGTTGTTGCTATTGTAGCCAAATGTCGCAATGCCGACTTGGACAGGCCAAAATGAAAATAGGAAAATGGGCTAATAGGGGGAAGAGGAAGAGCATGTTTCGTCATGAATTAACCACAGACAATGCTCCAAAAAGTGAGCTCATAGACGCAACTCCAACTCGATTGATGGGCGTGGCCAGTTGTTTTAGCCCCATATTGTCATTGTAATCCAACCTTGGCCAAAAGCTACGTATCCATGGCTATAATTTAGCAACGACGACGACACCGGCAACCACTAAACAAAAGTTGCTCTTCTGTCCTCTTATCTTGGCCAAACACGCGAGGGAATTTCATTTACTCTGCGTACCTCCGTTTCATGGATAAAAGGTCAGTCTTTAACGGTGACCTAAAAGCTAATTTGGGCCCAACTGGGCGCAGCTAACGTCACATATGGATGACCTATCCGAATGCTTGACCCATAAAATTACGAAATGGGAGCATTCGAGTGCGAGATTCCCTCGACAAATGATCCAAAAAAGCATTTTAGCTAATTAACCAAGAGAAAAATGTTTGCAATTTATATATTATTATATTATAATTCCGTTTTTAAGACTAGAAACTAGGACTTCATTATTAAAAAATCATATATGTATGTAATATGAATAAATAAAAAATATATATACAATTTTGACCGAAGAAGTATTGATACTTTTAAGGAGTTACATATATTTCATATTAATTTCATTTTTTTTACTTAGCAATAAACGATAAATCCTTGCATTAAACTATATATAATATTTGGAATTATAACAAGTCTTGCCTTAAAACATGAATTTAAAAAACTAATTATTTGGAAATAATTATTATTTCATTAATTGGAATCAAATATTAAAGTCAAAATTTAATTATCATAAAATACACACAATTACAGACTGGATAAAATTTTTTGACAGTTGGAAATTTCAATACTTATACAAATATCTAAAGCGCTTTCAAAATTGTGATTCCCTCTATTTGTTTATTAATTGCGTAACTCTTAATTTGAATAATAATGATGAAGTTCACTTGAAAACTGAGGAAATAAGCTTTGAGCTGTGAAAATCCCAAAGGATATATAAATATCATATATAGTATATCTTATATACTTATACATATATGTATATATTTATGTATTTTTAGTAACTTCGATCTAAATAATTATTTTTAAAATCAAGTTTGATCTGCCATGAGTTTAGCTCGAATGAACACGAAGCTCGAAAGCAATTCGTAGCTATTTTTAGACAGGCCCTTTGGTGAATGTTGAAACACAGAAAAGTCGCCCTAATAAGAGCCCTATCTACTATCAATAAATTGTTAAAATGAATGTTTAGTTAAGGCTCCTATTAATAATTACATATATGACATTGATTTGTTTACATAATTCAGAAAGTGTTTCAAACAGCACGAATCCGACTTTACGAGGCTTCACTGTACCTTCACATTCATGTTTAAATATATCACACAAATATTCGTCACGTAGAGCTCCTGCTGACAGATCAAAATCTGTTTGGATCAGCAAAAATGGTTGAATAGGAATTTGCAAATGGCATTGTGAGCGAGGGGAGGTCTAGCACCGTCTTGGCTGATTCATTTAATAAATGGTCATGCGTAAAGAAAAAAAAGCTCTGCAAACGAGCCAAGCGCATTTAAAAGCTAAACGCAAACCATTCTCAACGCTCTGTCGCAACAATTCTAATTGGAGGGATTAAGAAATATAGTGCAAATGCATGCAAAACTAAGCAAGATTGAAGAGAGACGAAGAGAGAGAAAAACTGCCAACTAACCTGTAGACAAGTCTAACCTGTTGATGTTGTTGCTGTTATTGTTGTGACTGTTGTTGCTGTTGATGTCGCTGCCAATGCTACGCCGACGCAAGCTAAAGAACTTTAACTTAAAAGCTTGAATTCACTCCTCTCGTTCGGTCGCTCTCTCGTTTGCTTTGCTTTAACACACGCACTAACACAAGCAGACGCTATCGCGCTCTCACTCCTGCACTCAGGTAAGCTAAAGCGCAACACGTCCCGCAAAACGAAGAAGCAATACTGAATGATCGTTATGTATGCGAGCGACCGCGCATGATTGTGTGTGTATGTGTAAATTTTCTTACAGTTTACACTCTTTTCATAGCTACGTTCTGCACTTGAATTTGGGCTTTATTGTAGGAATTAAAAGCCCGTAACTTTTAACTCTTTCACTCTGTGCAAAATTAACTATGCACCGGCAACGGAATCGAAACACTCAACCGCACAAAACGATAGCCCGGCACGCTACACTTGTACATACGAATCTACATATATAAATGCTAACATGTTTAGGTATTATTCGGTTATAAATTTACATAAGCCGAGCTTTAAGCTGCCACTTTTAACTGACAAAGTCGGGCATACATATTTGTTTTGATGTTATTCATATTTGAAAAAATACTTATTTTTTTGTCACTTTATGCCATCAATTTACATTATTGTATGATTCGTTAATTTTTATTTTTATTTTTTACGTTACTACTACCTAAAATTATTTCAACAATTTGCATTTGCGCGCGATACACGTCCGACGCGGTTGGTGTTGTTTACGCTTCTAAAAGCAAAGCTTGTTTACGTTAAACACACGTAATATTAACAGGTGGTACCGCTTATACACAGTTTGGTTTAATAACGCAACGTGCTTAACGTAAACGCAATAAAGAGCAAAATTAACGCAATAAGGCCCGACGTCTGTAAAGCCACTGCAAATAGCAGATCATGCATTACGACATGCTGACAGCGTCGGCTTAGTGTGGAGCAATTCTGTTAAATGAAGATAGTAAACCAGAAAGAGATTTGCAAGCTGATAACAGTTAACTACAAACTAACGGAAATTTCAGGTAAATTTACCGTTAAGTAACAACCAAATCTTCTAACATCCACTTTTGAGTCTTATGCACCATTAAAAACGACTGAAGGCTTCAAACAATTCTGACAGCACAAACAGGTTATAAGTGTGTCTCAAAATATTAAAATATACATCATGTAATACATATGTATGTATGTACATACATACATATATATACATTTTTACAACAGTTGAAATAAAATTCTGATTTCGATTAAAAGTATAAAAACTCGCTTCGGAATTTCAACCAAACTTATATGCATATGTATGTAAATACATACATACATAGCTCAATATTGATAAGTGTTGCCAGCTTAGCTATTTTCCCGTCAGTTTTGGCGTTTAATAAACAGAACGAGGCAAATGTTGCGAAAGAGCAGCTGGCGAAAATTATACATATGTAGCTACATTGAATTATTATATTTGGATAATTTTGAACCCTAAAATTGTACTTTAATCGAAATAATTCTTCTTCTGTATAACTGCTTCAATCTCAGTTAAGCCCGCCACTATTTGATCGAAACACTGCTTGTTTCTGTAGTCTCCAATTTCTCAGTAGCTTTCTCTAGCCTTCTTATTTTGGGAGCTAGACAGGAGCTAGCTTTTTTAGGCTTGTCGAAACTCTAAAGAGCTGGCAACACTAACTGCAAAAGGCAATCATTGTGAACATTCCGAAAAACAGTTTGCTTTGTGCTCTGTTAGCAGTCTGATTTCATTGTAGTCCGGCATTTAGGAAGGAACACAAGGCAACAGCACTGCTGAAAAAGTCAAGCGTACGCGCACTCTCGATCCGTTAGCTCAGTATAAGCATAGTATTATTGTCGCAGTAAGCTTTGAGACGCTGCGCGTGCTGTTAAAAAAGTGTACGGCTACTTGCCGATTCAAAAGAAAATAAACAATAATTTAAGTTTGGTGGGTAATCTAGTTTATGAAAAAGGTATTTATGAACATTTGGTAATACACAACACAACAAATAAAAAAAAATTATTTACGATGCCTCAAAGAAATAAGCAACAACATAGCAACAGCATAGATATTGCACACTTTCCTGTTCACACACACATACATATCTAAAAGTAGGAATAACTGTAACAAGTTGATGTGCATGAATGTGTACATGCGTATACACATACACACATGCATATCTACATTCACAGAGACATTTGTTTACAGAGAATCAAATATATTTGTAGCTTTTACTTCGCTTTTGGCGATTCGAATAGTTCTGAAAAAAATGGCACCGAAAAGGTACAATGGATTTATGATGTTTGTCAGTGAATGGAAGGAAAAGAATCCGGCGGGTCGCACTATGACCCTTGCAGAAGCAGTAACCAAATGCGGCGAAATATGGAAAGTGAGTACCTGAATAAATATGTATGTACATACATATATCAGGAGTCATAATTAATATAAATGTCGAACAGAATATGGATGCGCAACAACGCGGACCGTACATTAGTATGGCCAAAGATGCTGGCGTGGCAAAGAAGTGCACGAAGAGCCGCCTCAACTGCCATGGTCAGTCCCTATCCGCGCTGGAGCGCGAGGAAGCGGAGGCGGCTGAGCGTGAGTTGAACATGAAGCGCGCTACGGAGCGCATAGTGCTGGCTGGCAAGGAGCGTCATGGTAAGGTCATAAAATTCCTTCCTTGTTTAATGTTCATTCTACTTGCTTGCTCCTCTGCAGATCTGGAAAACACCAAATTTATTTTTGCTGCATTTAATTACTTTACGAAGTCAATCACAAATGATATTTATATTCCGGCCGAGTTTTCGGCTTGTCAGTTCTCGTTGAAGTCCGGCATTTGCTCGATGTACAGCTCGCACATCGATCCGGGTGAGTTTCAGCAGATCTCTCTATACGAACGATTACTGATGCTCTCTCTCTCTCTCTACTCTCGATCTCTTAGGTCAGCTGATTTTTGGCCAGGGCAGCGATACAATGCACCACACAAATAATACGCATCAGTTGCCGTTGCCGCCGAATGCTATGGGAGAGTCGGACATAGGCAGACTCTATGCGAACATCGTGGAGTACTTGCGCACTTGCAACCCGGATGCCAAGCCCAATGATCCTCTCGTGGTCTTTGCCACCCCAGAAATGATACCCACAGTCAAGGGCTGCTTCCGCTACCTGGAGAGCGACAGCGAGGAACCGCTGGCTACGATCCACACTTACGACATACAGTATCTGCTGTACGTGCTCAAGCTGGAGGTCATGGACAGCGTGGATATTCGGAACGTTACTGTAAATAGGGCCGCCACTGACAATCTCTTTGTAAATGACTACTTCTGTTACCACCTCGGAATTTCGTGTCAGGTGGGATAGAAATTGAAATTGAATCCCCCAAATGGAGAAGTATTTCACTATTGCATTTATTTTTAGTATCATGAGGACATCGACCGCTGCAAGTACTGTACCCAATCTATGGTAAGCCGTTGGAGTTATGTATTCAGCGACTTTCTGTGTGGGGACCTAGCGATCACTCCTTTGCCTGGCAAACACATGCCACCCAAGCAGCAGCCGAGATTCCATGTGTCTAATCCGCATAATGAGAGCGCCAACTCGTCCAGGACAGCCAGCAACTTCTCAAAGACAACTAACAAGTCCAGCGGGAAAGTCTCCAACGCTACATTTACCTCGGGTCAGTCCCTTGTAAAGCACGAGATCTTCGATCACTCGGCCTTCTCTGCCGATTTGAATGCACCTGAAGATTTTCCTAGCCTTGGGGGCCGCAAATCCAAACCGAATCGCAATCCCATGGGCAAACATCTAGCTCCAGGTGACCCAAGACGCGCTTGGAATGTTCCAGCCTCAAATTGTAGTGCCAAAGACTTGGAAGACTCGTTTAAAATGCCGCCTTGTTAATGTTAGAATTTTAGACTAAAGCATTCCTAAAACTGAATAAGAAACTGGACTGAAGCATTATTTTTAAAAATCTTAAATTTGGATTTTGTTCATTAAACAAGTTGAAACAATATTCTATATTAATCTCAACGTCATTTTATTTTCTGGGAGGTTGGTGTGGTTAACATAAAGTAAGCAAATTAGTTAAATTAAGTTTTGCATGGTTTGAACATGTACTCTGCGGGAGTGAGCGAGAAAGCAGGAAGGTTGCCATTATATTACTGTGATATTTGCACACATATGTATGTACATATGTATGTATATTCATATGTATGTGCATATTTCGACATTGCTGGCAGACCGTTTCCAACCATTTTCAAAGTCTTCCGTTAAGTGTGTATGTATGAACTGGCAAATGCTTATGTATGTACAGGCATACATATACATATACACACATTTAGTGGACTCAGCAAATCAAGCTGCGCACACTATTTAACATGTGTGCAGGAGTGTGTGTAGTGTGTGCGTGAAGGGTCTGAGTGAAAAGAAACGTACAAGCAACTACGCCTACAAATGCGTACATACATATGTACATATGTACATATGCACATTTTTATGTGTTACATCTACATTCATTTTCAAGAACACAATCACAATACATACAACATACATATGACTGAAAGTGCGTTCGCGTATGCATTTACATACATACATACATACATACTTATGCATGTATGTATATATGATAATGTACATATATGTATGTATGTATGTACATAAAAATGTGTCCATTACTGTATTTACATATTTAAAAATTTACTTTATACATGTGCATACATACATGATGGCATTGTTTTCCAGCGATGAACATGCAGTAATGGAAAAGCACTGTATGTACATACATGTATGTATGTATTATGTACATACATACATATGTACATTAATATAAAAATGTACAGCATGCAGTATGTACAGTTTGGCAAAAAAGTGTTTTAACACATGCTATTCTTTATTTCTTCTTACTGCTAAATTCGCATTTACCGTTGTTTTAGGCGATTTCAATGTGCATAGCTGTGGGTAATGCAACATACATACATATGTACATACATATGTTTTGAAGAATTTCGTCATAATTTGCAAGAATTGATTCAATCTTGAACAACTTTAAACAAATTAAGAATGCCAGGGAAGCGATTGTCTTTTGACATGATCCAATTGGTTTATTATAACAACTCCATAGGAAAATCAGTCGCAGAGATTGCAGAAATGTTTTTAATATCAAAGTGGACCGTTTATATTATAATAAGCCGCACAGAGAATAATGACACTGGAGCGAAAGCGTTCAACTGATCGACCTCGGGCGTTAACAGATAGGGCAGAGCGTATTCTGGCCAGGAAAGTTAATTTTGACCATAACGCTTGCCAGGGAGTTGAAGGATTTTTACCTCTTAAAATGTGTCACGCCTTCTTTTTTGCCCCTTGTTGAATATGCATATGTACATATGTACGTACATATGTATGTATACGTGAATACCAACTTTTTTTTGAAATATTATGTATATGACATACATACATATGTATGTATGCACATACATATAAAGAAAACAACTTTGACACTTCTCTGGGTTTATTGAGAACTCACATAATATTGCTATTAATATTTAGTAAAGGTTATTCGGCCGTGGTTTTTTTTTCAAATATCAAAAATTTTTTTTTTTTTTTTTTTTTTTTGAAAAACTAGAATATTGATTAGTAACTTGCCATTATTATTTGCATGTTTTGATATGCAATTTTTAAGTAATTCTGGACAATAAAAAACACACAAGCATTTATGCACATACATACATATGTACATATAATGTTAGCTACAGCTTACAAATATCTTGAGCTTTATTTTCGATTTTGATTTTTTGATTTTAAATGAAAACAATAATAATTGTAGCAGCAGAGAAATTTTCATATTTTATTTTTTAACAAATCTATGCAAGCTTTCTAATTTATTTTCTTATACATACATATGTACATATGTATGTACATGCATATGAAGTTGTATATTCCTCCCGAATTGCCAACAGTCATATATGTATATACAAATGTATGTACATATGTCCATAGAGATGGTTGTATGTATGTATTTATTTTAGTACCACTGAAAGCTGCTTGCTCTTCGCCGTTGTGCAGCACTGTTTTAGTAATACGACAAATTTGAATAAAAGACTTGCAAACAAATTCAAAAATAGGTAAGTGCCGATGCTCGTGGCAGCAAGTATATACATATTTATCAGTAAAATATGAGCTCAACTAACCGTGTATGCATGTATTGCATGTATAATATTGTCAAAATCGGGACTGTCTGTTGCATTTAGAATGGAGTCCGTTAGAATTGATTGTGGCAACACTTCAAAGCCATACATATACATATGTATATGCATACATACATGCATGCATACATCAGTTCAGTACATATGCGCGGTGTGTGCAATACCTTCGCTTGACATTTAGAACTAAAAAGTGTCCAAAATGCCGAAGATCGACAGAAATAGCCGTGTTTGTATTCCAGAGATCTCTGAGCTACTGCCAATACGCGAATACCGTTGCGAATTTGATTGCGGCAAGGTGTTCAAGAACCGAAATCCCTACGAAGTGCACCTGCAGAAGAAGCACGGCATTTTGATCCGGGCAAATCCAATCAAATGTTTTCGCTGTCCCGTCGAGGCCTGCGAGTACAACGGGGCACGGCTAGACCTTCTGCGTCGCCATTATCAGAACCATCACATGGAGAAGAAATACGATTGCAGCGCCTGTAAGCGCAAATTTATAACGGAAGGCCAATTCCAGAGACACCGGTGCGACGTGCAGATCTACACGTGCCACCATTGCTCTAGGGTCTTCAATTTGCTGAGCCGACACAATAGACATGCCAAGCTTTGCACCATGAGAAACACTACGCGCGTGCCGTCCCCCGGCTTCATCGACGTGGAAAGTGTAGAGAAAGGTACCCGGTAAATTAGATGCATACTCTTAGACCAGATATACTATATCATATATGTATGTTTCTCTATGCCAGAAGACAACAGCATTGATTGTCTGGAGTCCGAAATCAATGACGAGGTAATTGTCGATGCCGTGCCGTCCCCCGGCTTCATCGAGGTGGAAATTGTAGAGGCAGGTACCCCAGTTGACAACAACGTTGATTGTGTGGAATCCGATGTAAATGAAGATGTAACCATCGATGAATTCGAGCAACTGATAAAGAATATTGAAAATAATGTCGTTAGGGATCCCGAATTGATCCAGGAATTGGCAGCCCTAACCCCGATTTTGGAGAGTCTACAATCAAACTAATTTGCTATGATATTATTATTTTTTTGTTTAGCATTTTTTAACCGATTTTATACATTTAAAATGAAAGTGTAGTTTGGACTCCAAACTTTGGAGTCATTTATTTATTTTATAAAACATCTTAGAATACTGTACAAATACACAAATATATATTTAATAAATGTTTTGAGTGAATTTGGGCACATTTGCCTCAGGTCTGTGGCTTCATGAAGGCATGCATATAACCTGAGCAGGCTCTTTACGTCTTTTCTCTTTCTAAGATCATAATAGATCCTTCCGTATTCTCGAAATTAAAAGCTTCGATAAATTACAGTTTTTTTTCAAGGTTTGATGTCTGATCTATAGAATAGATTCAAATAATCATTAGAAATTATTAGGTAAATAATTCCCATATCCATTATTCCATGGCATAGGACAAGCTGACATCTGGTATGCATGAGCAAGGTTCTGTTGACATGAATAATCCGTCTGACTCCAGCACTCATTCCGCCTATTCAGGCGATGTCGTAAGTCATTCTCTGGTAGAGCTTTCATCTCAGCTGTTCTCAATTCAGAACGAGATTCACAATAAGATAGTGAGTGCTGGTACTCCATAGACTGCTGTATCCCGTAGTACACTTCATGATTATTATAAGTTATGTGGCATGGTATTTGAGAGGGAACCGTCGTTAAAACAGGTATTCGAGTACTTTCAGAAGCGTGCGGGCTTACAGGCCTTTCAGTATTTAGAGTAACTGAATTTATATGAAAATTTTGGATGTTTATTTTGTGTTGTGGAGGATATTGGGAAACCGGAAATGAAGGTCGGCTGCATTGATAAGAAATTTGTAGAGGGTCTCGATCATTGCTTACATCTTCAGATCTAGAATGATGTGTTTCGGTTCTGCAATACTGGTTTGTTACACCCAACGGAGGCCTAATCGAGTACTCCCCTTGCTCTCGACTCTTTCTGTCGTTTTTACGATAGTCTCCGATCGCATTATAATTTGATCTTTGCGGACTATGTGAAGGACTGTCATGACTTTTTTGCCATCTTATAGGTGAGATTTTTGTGTCACATCTAACATTTCGATTTATGAATAATCTACGACTTGGTGAAACAGTTCCATCTTCGATGCGAGAGCGAGATCTGGTACGTCTACTTTTTCTAGATGATGAATACCTTCCATGGTCCTGGCTATTGCGACTTACGGATCGCGAACGGGAGCGTGACCTAGAGCGCCAACGTCCAAGACAGTTGACTGGTCTTTGATGCACTTGTTTTATAGGTGACGAACATTTATTGCGATATAATCCAACTGTGCCTATTTCAGATGCAACAGGCTCTTGAAATCCACTAATTCTGTTTGTATTCAAGCATTGATAATTCCTTTTCGTATTTGTCTGAGTTCGACATTCAGTTTTTTCACTTTTATTATCCTCGGCTTGATGTTTGATTTCGTTGCTGTCAGAATCGATCTGAAGCTTTTTGGGTCTACGCTTAAAAATTGCACAATCATCTATAAGTGCTTGGTCTAGAATCGGTGGCGGCGGAGGAACTATTTCCGAACTTTCATCCTCAACTAATATTATATCTTGCTTTTCGCTGTGATCATTCATCTGAACGCTGCAACTATTCTGTTCTCTTATTGATTCCCAAATATCGTCATTTTCGAAAATGCCGTCCAAGTCGAGACTATTTAGAGCATCCAAGGCTTTTTGATTTATAAGATCTTCATGGCTTATTGTTGCCTCTTGATTTATTTTTGTCGCGTCCAATGGGCTAGCATGTTCAGGAAATTCTTGAAGATCCGATTCATTTCGATCGCTGGGCTTGTGGTGGTTAGGTGTCATCCCAATGCCTAAATCGGAGCACATGTAATTGGCAAATGTGTAGGCCCAACGCTTGATGTAGGTCGTACAGTACTGTTCAGACACATGCTTTTGACTGTCGCGATCGGCGCCAAGATCCGAAAGATTGAATTGGAAATGGGTAGTAAGAATAGAATCTGGAGGCGGCAACATGGCAGCTTTGCATGTAGCTTCCTTCAATATATGACAAAGGAATTGTATGGGCAAGACATTAATCTGGGTATCCATTCCACCGTTGAGCAGCTTAAGGGCTTTGCCGACAATTCCTACTTTTTTTTGCAATGTGAATACAGGTGGGAGTTCATCCTCTGGATCACATTCTAATCGAAGAAACTCAAGCAACTTTGCCAGAATGCCATTTAAGTAGTCATTGTCCCCTTCTGAAATCAAACACAGTCTCGTTAGTCACTAGGACACATAAGCAAAACAATCTTCTCTGTACCATGGTCGATCGTAGTATGGTAGATATTTTGCAGGCCATTAATTAGAGAAAACTGTGCAGCTGCCAGCTCTAAGGGCCTGTGGTCATCAGGAAGGCAGTTAACCATAATGAAATAATAGTTCTGGCTGGCCAACTCTGCCCGCTGGACGCTTGCATCTACTATAGCTTTAATTTGCTTATTGATAAGATGCCGGCGTGCATCCTCTTTCAATTGCCGCGGTGTGGCCCCATATGGCTTACAACGCTTGGCCTTCGGTTTCTAGATAATCAAAAAGATAATTAATATCCAATTTATATACATGTATTCACTTGTTACCAACCTGCCACGCAGAATTATGCGGATTCCTCCATGGATTTCCGTCACACATTATATCTTAAAGCTACATTAATTTTAAGCTCATTAGTTTAAACAGCCAAGGTATATGAGTAGTGACACGCTTCAATTAATTATATAGAGGATAGCCTGTTTTTTGTCCATTATGTATCACATTTATAGCATTTTTATTGAATTCATTAAAACATATTCTTTTTAGCTGTGAACAGTTTAAAAAACAAAAATATTAAAATATAGAAACTCACAAAAGACCTAATTGAACGCATGTATACAATATTATATTTCGAAGCAGAACAAAACAGCTGTGATTTTCAAATATTTATCGACCACTTCGATAGACACTCACATGGCTTGGCTTTGTTTCCATTTACATATTTCAATTATGTTTTAGAATGAAGCAATTTTGAACTAATTACTATTACAGAAATTAATATTAGTATGTGCAATGATCTAACTAACGTTCGAGAGGTTTAGAATAGAATACGTACAGTACGCGTATGAATAAATTGTATCACTGACCAGAGTCAGTGATTGTATGTTAATTATTCTGTTAACCATTTGAAATTTCGCGCGAAAGTTCTATCTTAAAAATAAAACTCTTTGGGATTTTGGATATAATTTTAGCCATTAGTTTCATAATATAATAATAGGAAATAACATACATATTAAAAAAGACTGAGTTTTCATTTTTGTTTTGTTTTTTAAATTAACCGAAATAAAGTAATATCACTAACCAGAGAACACATACACGTCTAATACATCTCTGGTTAGTGATTCTATTAATAGCATTACAGACAAATGTTAATCGCTTTCCGCTGTTAAACTAAACAACAACGAAAGTCTTCTACAGTGTTTGACATCCCTGGTCTCATACAGTGCAAGTGCGGGTGTTTTTGTGCAAATACCACAATTTACTATATATACAGAGCCAATAAGAACTATTAAGCCACTAAAAGAAGTGAAATGGCGCAACCACAAAAACCCGACTACGAAAACAGTGAGTAACATTAGTTTCAAAAAGTCCATACAAATATTCAGAAAGCAAATAGCGACGGTGAAAATGAGTCAGCCGGCAACGGTAAAAACAGCGGAAGCACTCTGATATGACCATAAATGGCATTCACGCATTCGTCGTCGCAGCGCTGTGTTTAGATAAACAAAGTGCGGGTAGCGGGGAATAGCCCTTGACCCGGTGAAAGCATTCTTTGGTAAACCGGCTAAACGTCCGCCGGTCGACCGCACCCTGTTCTCTGTCTATCTTGAGGCAGTTTACATTTTCTACATTGATTTTCAAACTCGATTTGGATTTTAATAATTTTATTTTGCAGAAAATATCTATGCGACGCTGCCTCGCACCCAACGTGGCCAACCCATTGTTTTGGGCTCCGATCCCAAGGGCAAGAACTTTTTGTACACCAATGGCAATTCGGTGATAATAAGAAATATTGAGGTAAGAAAAGAACATTTGATATCCTCTCAAATTGGGCAGGAATAACGAATAATATGAGACGTCTGCTCCAAAAAGCAAATATTGTTTTATTTTTGGACAGCGCACGGCAGCTGCAATTTTCAAGCGTTATTTTCCACTTGACAGCGATCATTCTATTTGCATGTGTTTGTGTCTGTGTTGGCTGTTCTATATTTATTTACCACACATCTGTATGTATAGCTTCATTTATGTATATATGTGTATATATTGCTATATGGCCGGCACGGCTTATATTCACAAAAACAAACAGAAATTTCGCTCTCACACTGCCTCTTGCTCTCCCCCTTTCTCTCTTCCTTTTTATCTGTCTCTTGTTCCACTGCCCACGCAACATAATTATGATGTTGCTTTGCTGCCGTTGCTGCTGCTGTTCCCCGTCCGCCTGCGCTTCCCCATTCTCTTCATCGCAAACAAATTTGTTTGTAAATATGAATTTATTAATTTGTTGAATTTTTTATTTGTGCGCCTTTTCTTGATTTGCCTCGTGTCACGCTCCGATTACCATCATCGCCTGTCCAGAACCCAGCGATTGCCGATGTCTACACGGAACACTCGTGTGCAGTCAATGTGGCCAAGTATTCGCCCAGCGGCTTCTACATTGCATCCGGCGGTAAGTCTCAACTGGCAAGAAGCCTTAAAAATCACCATCAACAAAAATGGCCCTGACTCACGTCAGCTGCCAATCCAATATTACCATACAACATATATGGAGTATATCTTATCGCCTGCAAAGAGGACTGAAACATAATGAAAGAAATTGCACAGAAGCCATAACAGAACAGCTTTTTTTTGATTAAAGTATATATATGTATGTACATATATATGTAGCTGAAGCCGAATATTTAAGTAAATGTTACCTTGATTTTCCATTGATGTTATCTTGCTTTGAATACAATCGTCTATCTTTACTTACGAACCTGATTGGAATCAATGGAAAACTGATTAGGAATGGGCTTTTTTTGATACACATAATATGCATGTATGCATAATATGACGCTCACTTACGATACTCTCTTATCGCCTCGCAGATGCCTCGGGCAAGATTCGCATTTGGGATACCGTCAATAAGGAGCATTTGCTGAAGAATGAATTCCAGCCGATCGCAGGACCCATCAAGGACATTAGCTGGTCAGCGGACAATCAGCGCATGGTCGCTGTAGGCGAGGGACGCGAGCGGTTCGGCCATGTGTTCATGTCCGAGACGGGCACATCCGTGGGTGAAATCAGTGGACAGTCCAAGCCCATCAACTCGGTGGACTTTAAGCCGACCAGACCGTTCCGGATTGTGACTGGTATGCCATTCTATATATTTCATATATTGCGCTCGACTAATCCGTAGAATTGCAGGCAGCGAGGATAACACGATTGGCGTTTTCGAAGGCCCTCCATTCAAGTTTAAGATGACTAAGCAGGACCATTCACGCTTTGTACAGGCCGTGCGCTACTCGCCGGATGGCAAGTTCTTTGCCTCGGCGGGCTTTGACGGCAAAGTGTTTTTGTACGATGCAACCAGCTCGGATCTCGTAGGCGAATTCGGCTCACCAGCGCACAAGGGTGGCGTCTATGCCGTCGCATGGAAGCCGGACAGCACTCAGCTGCTCACCTGCTCGGGCGACAAGACCTGCCGCCTCTGGCAGGTGGAGTCGCGCGAGCTGATCAGCGAGTTTGTCATGGGCAATACCGTGGATGATCAGCAGGTGTCGTGCCTGTGGCAGGGGGAGCACCTGATCACCGTCTCGCTTTCTGGCATCATTACCTATTTGAATGTGGACGATCCCAGCAAACCGTTGCGAGTGGTCAAGGGCCACAACAAGCCAATAACGGTGTTGGCCTTGAGTGATGATCGCAGCACTATCTATACGGGCAGCCATGACGGCATTGTGACCAACTGGAACTCCGGTAACGGCACTAACGATCGCGTTACCGGCACTGGTCATGGCAATCAGATAAACGGCATCGCCGCCTGGGATGAGTTCGTCTATACGTGTGGCATTGACGATAGCTTACGCCAGTTCAGCGTCGAGGCCAACAGCTACACGGACTATGTGGTCAAGTTGAATTGCCAGCCTCGCGGCTTGGCCATCTTGCGCAGTGAAAACATCATCGCTGTGGCGTGCATTAAGGACATCACCCTGGTGCAGGGCCAGAAGAAGATCTTCTCGCTGCCCATCAAATACGAGGCCAGCTCCATAGCCACAAACTCGGAGACTTTGGATGTGGCTGTCGGCGGTGATGATCAGAAGCTGCATATCTATGCACTAAAAGACGGCACGTTGGAGCTGAAGACTGAACTAGAGCATCTGGGCGCCGTCACCGATGTCGCATATTCGCCGGATCAAAAGTATTTGGTTGCCTGTGATGCTCATCGCAAGGTTGTGCTGTACTCAGTGGAGGAATATAAGGTGAGAGAAGGCTAATAACCTATAGAACTGTAGTCTAACTTCTTCTCCTTTGCTACTGCAGCCGGCTCACAACAAGGAATGGGGCTTCCATAATGCGCGTGTCAACACTGTGGCCTGGTCACCCAACTCGCTGCTGGTAGCAAGCGGTTCGCTTGATACTACTATTATTATTTGGTCTGTGAGCAATCCAGCCAAGCACACCATTATCAAGAGTAAGCCAATGCTAACACTTTTACTCTATGTCAAATAAATGATATTTTATTGCTCTTTTAGATGCGCATCCTCAATCGCAAATTACACGCCTTGTGTGGCTGGACAACAACACTGTGATCTCCACTGGTCAGGATTGCAACACCAAAGTCTGGCACGTCGAAACTATTTAAATCATGCCAATAGAGAACAGAACAACGAAAACAAAAAACAAAAGAAAAAGCGCAGCCAGCGCGTATTTTTATACTTAATCAGGAAGAGGGAACGGAACGGAGGAGAGAAACGGATTCATTTAAAATCCCCTTAAATTGCCGCGAGTTGCCGAGTTCCTATTTTGGCATCGTCTTCGATATCAGCTTCATTTCATTTAAGTGCATGTATTTCTTACATTTAGATATTTATATAATGCACTCATTTAGTCCTCTAATTTTAAGCTCAAAGTTTTGCCGCTAATCATATCATTGATAAAGCTTCTCTGTTCACAACACTTGAATATTTCAACCCGAACCCACTTCATTATGCTTGTATGTGTTTTAAAGAAATTTTTTGATACTTATACAACTGAAATACAGTTTAAACATATATGTATAAAGTGCGCCAGCGTACGTAAATTATTGTATTATGAAATGAAATAAACTAGTTTTTGCATGAAAATAACAATACGTCTCCAACACATTGTGTATTTTTTGTGGCTTAAAATTTATTTTGCTTGTTGGTTTTTTGTAGGTCTTCACCTTGTCTTTTTGTGTGCATGTGTGTGTGCGTGTTTTCTTGGTATATATAATTATAATATTTATAAAAAGTGCTCTTAATTTATTAGAATGTGTAGGCGTGTGTATGTTTGTGAGTGTGTGTGTGTATTGGTCTTTGTAGAAGGTAAAACGAAAGCCTCGCAATATTACAGTTTCAGATCTCGCGCAAACAGTTTAGGGTGCCTGCACTCAGTGCTGCCCAAACTGTTAGCGCGTGTCACCCTCAAACTGTGACAGTGATGCCACCACTTACAGGCCTATCGAAGCGTTCTCGCCTATCGATAAGTGCAAGCGAAACTCTAACAAATGGCGCTAAAATTAACGAGAGAATAAATTCAAATTAAGTCGACGAATTGTGCTAAGTATCACAGCCGGGTCTAAGACGGTGGGGTTAATTTCAAGTGAGAGCGTGTTTGTGAGCGTGTGTATGTGCGTGTGTGTGTGCATGCGTATGTGTGTGAGGAAGTTGATCTGCGCGCTGCTTCAGATGGCTGTGGTGTCCGTCTCGCTGCCGGCCTCCCCATTGCGAGCGACGGGAGTTACACTCTTCATGGACACGGGCCCCTCGTGAGCCACATCCGTATTCGACTCGGCCACGGCTACGGCAGCTGCTGCAGCGGCCAGCTGAAACTGATTGGGTAGAAACAGATACGGGTTGCCGGAGAGCGAAGCTGGACCAGAGCCGGAGCCAGGGGCAGCGCCGGAACCAGAGCCTGCGCTGGGTACCTCGCCCGCAGCCAAGTCGCCGCTGGTTGCCGTCGCCGTCGGTGCACTGGCGGAGATCGATTGAGCTGCCAGCTTGGTGACGCGCTTGCGCCGCGCCTCGTTCTCGCAGGGCGACGGCGCGCCCGGATGCCGATAGCTGACGTGCTTGCGCAAGGCATCCTTGCTGCGCGACACATGGGAGCAGACATTGCAGGCATAGCTGAAAGGGACTCGGAGTCAGTTTTCGGAATGATGTGGAATCTCTGCTGCTCTTACCGCACGTTCTGGTGGGTCTCCAGATGCACTCGCAGATTGTATTGATTGCTCAGCTGCTTGTGGCAGATGAAGCAGGTGGCATAGAGCTTGGAGTTGGATGGCGGCTTGCTGGGCGTCACCATCTTCTCGGCGCTCAGCGACAGCAGGTTCGGCTCCGACTTGGTGCTGATCAACTGGCCAGCCGCAGCAGCAGCCGCCGCCTCGCGCTGGCAGGCCGCGTACTGCTCGATGTGCTGCTGCAGCTTGACGTGATCCTCGGGCGTTATGTAGGGCGGACTGGCCAGGTGCGACTGGGCGGCTTGCTGTGCGGTTGTGGGCGTGGCAGCTGCGCTGTAGCTCGGCAGCTTGGCGCCGCTGTACAGATGGCCGGCGGGATTCAGGGAACTGCTGTAGCTGGGCGACGTCTTCACCACGGGCAGCTGGGGCGAGAAGTGCGACATGGCCTGTGGCGCCAGGGTCACAGGAGATGTGGCCACAATCGAGTTCGCGGCACCGCACTCCATGGGCGACTTACTGCTGCTGCTGCTCGTCCTCAGATTCTCCACGATTTTGTCTATGCGCTTGATGTCCTTCTGTGAATTGCTGGCGCCTCCTGGCGCCCCGCCGCTGCCCGTCTTCAGGCGCTTGGCTTGGCCGTAGCACTCCTCCTCCTCGAGGTTGCTCTGATAGAGCTGGCACTGCTGCTGGTACTTGGCCAGCAGCTCCGTGGTCTTGTTCAGCGCCGTCTGCGAGAAGTTCAGGGGCTGCGGCAAGAGATTCGGATAGAACTGCAGCGACTTCAGAAAGAAATTCTCCAGGGGCGAGCCCAGCTTATTGGCCAGCAGCGGCGCCTGCAGCGTGGCACTCGACATGCCCAGCGTGGGCGTACTTGCTGGCGTGGGCGTGGCTCTTGGTGTGACCGTGGGCGTGGCCGCGGGCGATGCCGTCGGAGTGGCATCGAACGCCAGTGGCTTGTCCACGCCGGCCGGCTCCATGCAGGCAGTCGGCGTACCTTTCGCTGTCTTGGGTAGCTGAAAGGAGGCAGGAGAACTGAGCTGGGTTCAGCAAGGACTATGCATATATATTTACATTGTTATTGTGCACATCGGCCAGTCCCTTGATGCCCAGAGTCTCGGCCAGATTGAGCAACATGGGTATCTGCTCCTCGTAGACATTCACCTCGCCCGAGTACATGAACGTGAGCAGTGCAACGATGGCGCCGAAGCTGGCGCCCGGTATGATGATGACCGGGTGATTGTGGGCCTCCAGTGCGCGGAAGATTTCCATGAAGAAGCTGCTGCAGGCGCTGAGCACCACGCGATGGGCGCGCAGCAGACGCCCCTCTGCCGAAATGGTGACGTCCGTCAGCTGGGACTGGTCCAGCAGCACCGGCAGAGTGCTCAGCAAGCTGGTCTGGAATCGAGAGCCAGTGGGATCGAGGCATGAGTTGTAAGTGCTGCCAATCTGCAGTTCTCTCTTGCAGCCGAGGGCAATTGGGTCAGCTAATCTTATAAATAGTATAGAGTAGATTTGGCCAGCTGCCTGCCTGGCTGGCTGCTGGCTAAAATTGTGATTCGATGCCCTAGGCTAGGGGCCCGGAAAACATTTGGAGCAGATGCAGCAGGCGACACTTAATGGCAGCTGAGCATTAATTGCAACTGCGTCGCGTTCGAAATTAGATTTAGTTGCTAGTAAAAATTCTTTGGATTTTGGCAATTGCAATGAGCATTTCATTTATTTGAAAATTTTCCTTTTCTTTTTTTTGTTATTTTGTTTTTCTTCTTTCGACTTTTGGCTATTTTGGACAGCTTTGTGGTCGACTGCCTGTGCTCCCTCCAACAGCGAAATTGTCAGTATATATGAAACGCGGAAAACTATGTGTGAATAAGAATATATATATACATATGTATGTATATATGTATATATTTATACAATATATCTATCTACCCTATATATAGATGGGTGACATTTCTTTGGTCGCCTCTTCTGAACGATGTCCAGTCAATTTTACGAGCGAGGCCAAGCCTTTGGCTAATACGCCGCGCAAACTGGCTCTTGCTGACCATGTCTATTAAAAACATTCATTTATATTCATTTAAGATACGGGACCAGTGGCCATTGGAGCCAATAAATCATAGGATGATCTAAGTAGCTCGGAATTAATGGCACCTGAAGTCAACGGAACGTATTATTAATGTATGGTTCATTCAGCAAGCCGAGTTGCCGATTGGAAATTCAAAGCGAAAATCACTTTTGGGAATTCTTGTTAAATAACATAGATATATCATATAGCAGAATACATTGGGTATATACGTATATTCGTAGCTCGGAAAGGATCTCGTTGATTGATAACATTGGAGAGTTATATGAAAATAATGTGAGCAACAAAATGTGAGTAACACTACAGAACACTATATATAACATTTGTGTATAACAGTAAAGTGGATTATTTGCACTAGAACTAACAGAGTATTATACACTTTAGTCATGTCAATTAAATATTTTATATTCATAGCATTACTTTCCCATAATTTTATTAAAGTATATATTGTTATATAGAAGTTAAAAAAGTGTTATACAGTATACTTTTCATTTAACAAAAGAACAATAACGCGGACTTTGTCAAATTGAAGGTATACAATTTAACAGAAACGTATATAGAAACAAACCGTTATATACTTTTGAACTGTAATACACGTTTTGTTGCTATGTATATAAACATGTATAGTTTGTAAAACATTAGTTATTGCATTATTATTTTTGTGTATCACGCTTTGGGAAAGTACGAATACTACAGTAGAAATACTGCAAAATACTTAGTTTACATCATCAAAATATTTCATGTAACTATGGAATTGTATTTTTGTATAACAGTTCTTATACTACTGTAAGTACGTGGATTATACCATAGTAATAGTTTATGTTTAATAAGAACCCAGGCTAAATAAATAATAAAATAAATTGTTATATAGCATATAACAGAAAATAGTTAAACTTTGTTATATAGAAGTGTGTATATGCATATGTGTTTCTAGCATAGTGTGTGTATAACACTTGGGAAATAGTGTGTTTATAGCAATATTAAAATAGTTTTTATGTTACACGATTTGTACAACATTTTGTATGCACGTGTTATAAACATTTTGTTGTGTGACCTATCAAAATCGTATATCTATATGTTAGATTTTAACAAAATGTCTCACACACATCTTAATGAGAATCAATCGCTAACTTTCTCAGCTTATTTCGTAGTCAATTTTACTTTAGATTCCTTTACTCTTCAATCTCTAAAAATTGCTCACATCCATTAAAGCAAAAACATTTCATAGAAATTTAATATTCAATTATTCACGAATGCATGCATATAAAGTATTATTTATTAATTAAATATATGTATATGATCATTTGACGCTTAACTCACTTGATGATTATGCCATCGCAGGCAGAATTGTTGCTGATTGTCGCTGTGTTGTTGCTGTTGCTCCAGTTGATGTTGCTGCAGCTGCTGTTGCTGTTGCTGGCGTTGCTGTTGTTGTTGCTGTTGCAGTTGCTGTTGCTGTTGCTGTTGCCTCGTATTTGTTGTGTTTACATGTTCCATAATTCATGAAGATTGTGCGCCCGTGGGTCCCTCACATAAATGGCTCTGCAAGATAGGTTAAGAATCCTTTAAGTATTTTCTGCATGTTTTCCGCTGTCAAATCGCGCGCATTTTGCAATCTCAATTTTCGTTTCGATTATTTTCTTTTCATAATTTGTTTGTTTGTCTTGCTGTCGGTTTTATTTGTTTATGTTTTGTGAGCATTTGCTCTCACACTCATTCGCTAAGAGATCCGCCGAGTGCTCTTTATAGAGCGTTGATCTCTGTGCCGACTCTCGCGGCTGTCCGAGGCGTGCACGCGGCGTATACGTATTGTGTCGTAGCACTTGGCATATTACTCATACGCCTCGGTATGCTTAGCCACGATATGAATAGCTGTGATGTAGTTGAACCTGTGTGCGTCTCGAGTGTGACATGGCTATGTCCGAGAGAGACAGCAGACAAGAAGCGGAAAGTTGAAGGTAATATAAATATTGAATCGATTCACGGAAATTGATTTGGCTTCAGGACTAGAAAGGGCAGCCAAAGAGCTTTTGGGATGGGGCAAAAAATAGGTAATTGACTAATTTAAGAATCTATTAACTAGATCAGATCACACGATCTCGATATTTTATATATTTCTGCTCGTTTTCCCTTGGCAATTGAACTGCCAGCATTCGCATGCATTCCAAGGTGGGATTCTCGTTTGGTTTCTATATGCCTAGAGGTTATTTTGTGAGTATAGCCAGAGACCCAGTTGACAGAGCTAAATTACAATAAAAGATGCCAAGAGGAGGAGATAACAACAACAGCAACAATAGGAACACACACACACACACACACACACACACACACACACACACACACACACACACACATACATATACACATGCGATGTGACGCTATGAGATGATGTTTGAGCGTGCAGGGGCTTAGCGCTCGCTTTGGCTGGCAATTAAATTAAATTTATTTAAATAAAATTAATTTGCTGAACTTGTTGTTTTTGTACCCGTTCTAATACCCTGTTCCCATTAAGAATGAGTAACTAAAGAGTATGATGGGTGAAGGAGGCACTACAATAAACATATTTCTCTTTTAATTGTATTTTTCTAATTAGCGTCAACAAAAATAAATAGACTATGCGTCTGTCGCTTCGTCCAGGCGTGAATCTTACAGACGTAATGATAATATCTACGGTAAATATCTATATATTTTATTAAACACATAAACTTGAAATTAATATGGTTAATTTATCTATTTAGCAATGACTCTCTTGGGTATCCTTAATACATATGCTGTACACATCGATATATATCGATATGTTTATATTTATATTATGAGAAATTGTAGCCTTAATATGAGTATTATTGGCAATTAGAACCCTCAAATTCTTGGCTCCTGTCTACTCAATGAGGCACACAAAAGTCGATAAATATCGATATGTTGGTTTTTATATTATCATCAACTTGGCCATGTGTATCATATGCAATACAAATAAAAAATATCAATATTTCATAGAGACTTCGAATGGGATCAGTTACAACTACTGTCTACAGGGTATTCGCTGGCTTGTCACCAAGACTTGTTGTCGGCTGGTCTCTGATCTCTTATGTGATTCGTTCTGGCCTGGCTATATGTCTGTCTCTGTCTAGATCTGTGGGTTTCTGGGCTGTGCTATAAATCTGCCAATTTCCATTGTTTAGCCATTGCGGTTATACTAGATGCCATGCAAAACTACTTAGTGCTGGCTGCGAGTGTTGATTGTTGGTGGTGCTGGTGCTGGTGGTGCTGGTGGTGGTGGTATTGGATGGGTAACCCACTACTTTTGTCCGAGGGCTATTTTCGTGTGTGCATCGGGCGTGCATAGCACACAAACTGTGTGAGAATCGCAAACTGCAACTCATTGGAGGCCCCGAAAGTGACAACTACGACATCTTTGCTAGCTGCTTGGTGCCCAGCATGCGATTTGTTGTTGTTGTTGTGGTTGTGGTTGTTGCTGTTGTTGCCGACAGACGGAATTTTCTTCATTCCATTATGTGCACAGCGAGTGAAAATCGCATCTAAGCATTTTTCTATTGAGCGACGAAGGCAGAAGAATACCAGAGCCAGGGTAACCGTAGAGCAGGCGGACAGACGGGCAAGCGAACGGGATGGGGGTGGGGGAAGGGGCAGAAGGACGCCCTGGCCTGGGGTATGGCCTTTTTGGCGCTCGTTCACACAGATAGTGTCTTTTCCGTAACTCTTTGGCATTTTTTTTTTATTTTTTTTTTGTTGGCTGTTGTCGCTTCTTCTTTTATTTTTTGCTCAGATTTTACTTGATATATTCCGAAATTAGTTTCAGTTGCCTTATGTATGTATTTTTAAATAGCCGCCACTAGAACTGTGCTAAACGCTCTCGCCAGCCTGTCTATTTTGATTTGTTGTCCAAGTGCTGTCTTTGTCAAGTGATTTCGTGATTTCATCATCACCCTTCGCCCCCCCCTGCCCTCTCATTCCATTCCATTCCACTTGGCTACGCGTTGATGCGTAATATTTTACACATAATCGCTCATACGCCGCGTTGTCATTCCATAGAAACACCAAAAGGATTTCGTTCTTCTCTCATTTTATTATTTATATATCTTATTTACTGCCTGGTTTTAATTTTCATTTGTTCCATAACAAAAGCGACGCGCATAAATTTCTGTCCACGAATTTGTGTTTGTTGAATATTTTCTATGATTTTTATGTTGTTATATTATATATTTTATGTATTTTATATTTTAGTTGAGTCAGTCCAGTTTTTCGTTTTTCCTTTTTTTTTTTTTTTGCGACTACCCGGCCAGATTATTAATAGGCCTAGGTCCAAGTAAACCTAAGGGTATTTTTCGTCTGGAATTCAATTTGTCATCGACTCAAACACGAACTGTTTGTTTAATTCTCTCCCCTTGTCCATTTGGTTTATTAAACACAAACTTTTCTTTTGTATATTTTCTCTGGTTGGCATTTTCACTTGAGTTTTCCCTCCACTTAATCGAAAACTCGTGTTGATTATTAACGATCAAAAAATTTAATGCCTTTGACAAGTTTTTATGTTTGCAAATATACTTTGTATTTTGATTTGCCTCTCTTCACTTAATGAAAAATTCTAAACAGTCCACTTAATCCTCTAGTTGAGAGTGCGAGAGACAAATTTCTATTTAACTAAATTAGTCTTTTTTATTTGTATGTTTTTTTATAGGATATACATATAGAAATATATATAAAATCTTCTTTGATTTGCGCAAATTTTTAAAGCACAATGCACATACACTTTCTTTCAATATTGCTTATTAAAAAATTTTCTTAGCATTTAAATAATTTTGCACACAATTTATAAATATCAAATTTTGTTTTATCTTCAAAGATGGACATTTTATTAAGTTTGGATCTGGTCAATAAAGTAAATAAATAATTCCAAAATCTCCAACACGAAATTTTATTTTATAAATTTATAAATTATTAATTTTTTTGTAGCTTTTATATATATCTAATATATATGTTTATTTTTTATATTATATATTTTTGTTAAATTTGTTTTGTTTTAACATATACATATATTAAAATTTTTTATAATGAATTCGTACTTTTATTTTATATTTATATTTTTGTATTTAATTTTTTTTTTTTTTTATCAATAATTATAAATTGTATATTAACTATTTCAAGCAACAGAGGATGTTAACTGTCTCTCAATCCGTTCTTTCCTTATTTCGTTTCTTGGGCCCATTTTCTCATTAAATAATTATTTAAACTCCTTCTAGTTAAATAAAATTTTATTCAATTCTTCTGAAATAAATTTTAATAATAATACAAATTTCTATTTTTTATTTATGTATTTTTTAAATTTATATTTTATAATTTTTGAATATAGTTTCGATGAGTGTATTCAAAATTCGTCTATTATATTTTGCTATTTACATATAATTTTATTTGCTTGCCACGCGCTTTATAAACTTTTTTATTTTTCTATATATAGTTTTCTTTTATTATAATTATTTTTAATTAATATAATATTGAATGCTTTTGTTGTAATATTATTTTATATTCATTAAATATTAATAACAATTGTTTTTTGAGCACCAAAAACACATTTACGTGAATTATTTGAGTTTGCTGTTTCTTTTACTTTTATTATTATATTTTATATTATTTTTATATCCTTTTCGAATCCTTGCATGGCATAATAACACGAGTTTTTCTTTTTGCTCCGCAGTTTTCGTTTGAGTTTTCATCGCGTAGACTTTCTTAAAATTCAGTCTGATTTTCTTTTTAGCATTTAGCTTTTGGCTAAAGCGCGCACCTTTGTTAACCGTTTGCCGCTCGCATCTGAAATGAAAATATCCGAAAATGTTTCAATTCTTTCGGTTTTAGTTGGAGATTTTCTATTTTTCGAATGTCCATCTCTTGACAATTTTTGCTGTGTGCCATTCGATGTTGTTGTTGTTGTCGCCGTTGCCATTTGTTTTGTTGATTTGATTTCTCGCTCGTCGTCGTCGTCGCCGTCGTCGTATTTTCTGGCTGTCTTTGGTTCTGCTCCTCTAACGATCTCAATCTCATCAACAGCATCGTTGTCGGTTCCATGTTCTAATTAATGAGCACGCAGCTAGTAGCAGCACTCGGCCGCAGCCAGCAGCAGCCAGGGAGCAGCAGCTCGACGAAGCCAGCTGAAGAGAAATTGCCGCTGTTTTGTACTCACAAATTTGTTGTTTAATTAATTGGCTGCTACAAAATTTAGTTAATCAAAACATTTGTTAATTCATAATACACATTAATGAGCATCAGCTCGTAGTCCATCTGCTGCCGAGACACAATTGACATGCCCACCAAAATACACACAAGCACACACACTCACACTCTTACGGGTTTCTCGCAATTCGTGTGCATTATTAATTTGCAATAAAAATGTGGAAGCAGCCGCCAAGAAAAAAAATAGACAAAAATTGTTACAAAAATAAATTTTGGTACCTGCTGTTGAGACTTGAATTATGTTGACAACGGCTGACAAATACAAATGGAAGCGCATTGGAGGCGCTCAGTGCTGCTGGGCCGAATCCCCTTCACAGACTGCACTTATTCAATTCGTTAGAATGCCAGAAATACTTATTTATTATTGTCAGCTCGCACAGTTGCCTTGTAAATCTGGGTTAGCTCAATACTATTCTTAAGTCTATGGATCCTACATGCTCTATGAACTGAAGCATCGCGCCTCCGGCAGGGGCCTGCACTGCTGCTGCGCATAATCCCAGCCGTACTTGTAGGGACAGCGCACGATGGTCAGGTAGCCAGCGATGCAGCTATAGTAGTACTCGCAGCGCTCTGGATGCGGGTGGTAGCCATCGCCAGTGGAGTCACAGTGCGGCCTATTGCCCGCTGGCTTCGTCTGCTGTTCCGAGTCTGGATCGGTGGGCGCATCGGTTGCTGCATCAGTCTGCACTCCATCGGAGTTGTCACTAGTTGTCTCATCTACAGCTGCTGCTGTTGCTGCTGCTGGTGCTGCAACTGTTGTTGCCTCCACCGCCTTCAAGCAAATGCCCGTATCGTCAAAGGCACACTCCTGCGCCTCGGCATCGAAGTACGTCTGGTCTGGGCAGCTGTCCCTGAAGGAGTCCTCGCCATTGCAGTAGATGTAGCTTGTGCAATCCTCGATGACCATAACAAATGTATCCGCGTCCACGTTGTTGCATTGCTGAAATACTTCCGCAGCACAAGGACGTAGTCCTCCCGCCAGGACGAGCAGGCAGAGCACCTCAGAGACTTTTGCTTGTTGACTCATATTTGGCTTCAGCTTGAGCTGCTCGTTGCTGATTTTGGTTTGCTCTCGCCTTTATATATCTATGTTCAAGGTCATGCACCACATATCAATATTGTTATCAAGAAAACGTGTACGGTTTTTGTTCTTTTGCAAAAACTTATCTATTTAACATGATTTCATTTAGGGTAAGAGTGTGTCAAGGTTGCAGTGAAAATGTCTATTAAGTCTAACTCTAAATGAATTGCATATTTAATAAATGTTTAAAAGATCTTTACATGATTTACGCTTATACATCGCATGATATTTTGTACAAATAATAAACTTTATATTTTCAACTTTAAAATCTTTACTACTAAACTAATTAGTTAATTTGTATTCGTAATGGGCTTAAACCTGCAGCATTGGTCGCTGCTCCTTGGCTTGCAGATTGTCATTGGTAAATGAATAGCCCGTTCCACCCTGGAAGAACAAAAATAAGAATGTAACTTTGTTTAGGTTCTATTTTAATTAAAGAGAGAGAGAGAGAGAGCGAGAGAGAGAGAGCAATTAAGAATTCTTTAGTCGGATATGCCCGACTAGACAGATAGTCAGCAGCTATTGCTTTAAAGTTTAGACTGTAGTAAACTCTACAAAAAATTATTTATTGTATTTTAAAATACCTACATGAATCGAGGTATAAATCAGTTTCTGGTATTAAAGAATTTCCAAAACTAAAGTGTCTACAATTGATCTGTATACAAAAAATAAATCCCTTGAATATAAATATGGAATGGAACAGTCAGAAATTGCGTAATCTTTAAAAGAATCATAAAACAGAAAAGGTGCGGTCTATGCCATTAAATAATTATAAATATTAATAATAAGCTATTTACATAGCATATAAACATTTAGGCTTATCAACTATATATGAATATTGTTTCTTATTAGTTTGTCTACATATATATATCTCTGTGTATCTAACTCACTCACAGAAGATCATTTAAGTTGTCTATATGTATACAGCAGTATTCATTTGGTATTTATAGTTGAGAGAAGTGAAGTTAGAATGCAGAGAACAGCAGAGAGTGCTCCCATTAATCGACTGCAACGAGAACTTTGAGCGCGACTTAATGGCTAAGTGAGAATCGCCTTATATAAAAGTCAGCAGCTGCAGCACTTCTTCAGTCGCTCAGGCTTGGTGGAACTCACTAGTACAGTGCAGTAAAGTGAAATGAAGGCTGTGATCCTTCAGCTAAGCATTAAAGACTTGGAGGAAAGACTCGGAGGAAGCACTTAGAAGATAAATCAAAAATCTGTAGGATATATATACTTATAAATAACTTCCAAAAACGGACAGCCGCTAAATCGACTCAATTCGTCCCACTGATTAAGAATATATACATATACTCCCTTTGCCGTTTAATAAAATGATTATACTCTGGCTTCACATGCTCAATGGGCTCAGAGTATACATATTTATAGAAAAAATTTCATTAAGTAGTAAATGCCCAATTGATGTACTTACACGTTGCAGTGGGATGATGTCCTTTTCCTTGAGCTTGCGGTCGGTGAGGGGATGAATCATGTCTTTGCGAATGAGCTTCTCGACGCATTCCATAGTGACCACATCGCCACTGCAAATGAGAAGGAAATCTACGTATATTTCTATGCCAACTTTAGATTCAGTTTAACTCACGTGGGACGCAGCACGGCACAGGGCACTGCATTGCTGAGGACATCGTGTGTGATGGGGCACATGTAGCGCGCCTCCTTGGCAATGAGCGAACGTTTGTTGTCCCCATCCTTAAGTAGTGTGAATTTGACATCGATTAGGTCCTTGACTTTAAGTGGTTTCTGCGAGACGGGGCAATAGATGGTAGGATCGGGTGGCTGCGCTTTGGCAACGCCTGCATTGGGGCACTCGGAGGGCAGCCAAAAGCTGGGCAGCTTCGTTTCGTGTCCATTGGTCATGTTGGAAATGGAGCTCGTTGAGCTGGCACTGGCTGCTGATGATGTGCTGGGCTTATCGTCCAACTTTGTGGACTTGAACAATGTTGTGTTCGGCTTGTGTGCGGGAGTTGTGGTTGGCCTCTCGGCATTCACGAATTTCTCCATGCGAGCCAGCTGCTTTTGATTGGCCTCCTGGGTCACTTCGTTTTCCTCGATGCGACGCAGGCGCTCGTACTCTTTTAGCTTCCGGCTGTACTCGTTCTTCTTGGTGATAATGTACTGCAGAATGGCCTCTTTGTCGAACAGGTAGCCGTCTTTGGTGACCACAGGATTTCTGCACGGCTGCAGAGTCAACGAACAGCAATCGAAAGATTTCACTGAGTCTTTACCAAGGCGCTTGGCATTTGTGCCATATCCGGACTCGGCAGCATCGCGTTTCTTCTCGTTGTACGTGTAAACGGCTCCGGCGGTGCAGTTACGTGCGTGACGAGTCATTTTTGATGATATTTACAAATTAATATGTAAATAAACAAATGCCAGGCGACTACAAATGTGATTTGCGATATCTATCAAGAAGGTGGCAGCACTGAACTATCGATAGCTATCGATGCAGCCTATTTTACGATAAAAGAGGCTGCCGCTCCGACAGTGTTACCACACGTGTAAACAAAAAATTATTATCGATATGAATATAATGACAGCCGTTAAATATAAATATTGAGAACCCTAATTGTATTTTGTCATTAATTCGTTCTTTATTTATTTGTATTATATTGCATTTTTAATTTATTTATTTACGTTGCATATGAGTAGTTGTTACTTAAATGGCTACAGACTAATAATACTGCTGTAGCTGCTTGATGTGTATTTAGTTGAATATTTCACATGCTCACAGTTTACTATATTATATGGCAACTATTTTCTATATAATCTGGTTTATCTATTTCGCTTTGCTTTGTCGCTAATGGATTATTTCGTATGATTTTCTTTTGAGCATATCACAGAACAAAAATGATACATAGTTAGTAGAGAGACTGGAGATTTCTCGGGGTTCGTGGATGTGTGTGTGTGTCTGGGTGTGGGCGTGAGGGTGTTTTGGATTAGAAAGTTCAAAGTGTAAAAATATTAATTGGAGCTTAAAAATATATTTTACTTTATATTTATATATGTATAGATATATGTGTATGTATATATATGTATGTGTATATATGTATATCTAGTTGCAAATGTCATTTTTGCCGTGTATATGTATATATAAATTTGTTCTTGATATCGTTATCATTAGAAAAATATTGAGCAAAAGTATTTGGTATGTTGGATTGGGTTTATAGTTGGCTCTTAACTGAAATTGACGCTCAATTCCTAAACGAAAACCAAAGCGCTATCCCTACCAAGCCGAAATCTAAACTAAACGAGTATCTTATCATAGGACGGCGGCGGTGACTCATCCAGTGGCACCTGTTTGCCCAGCGCCGTCGGCGTCTGTTCCGGCAACAATATTGCTATATGATATGGCGGTGGTCCGGCCGCTGCTGCTGCCGCTGTTTCCGCACTCACCTCCACCTGCCGCTCATCCAGATATCTGACATCATTCAGCTCCAGCATGCAGCTGGTGGCATTGCCGCCGCGGCTGTGGCACACGGCGCGTGCATCGCTGCGGCTGTTGCTGCCGCCGCCGCCGCTGCTGCTAGGTAGCAGGCCCTTGGGTATGCGGCAGAGCGACACCATGCAGGCGGCCAGAAAGAAAGTGGCCGAGAATGCGCAAAATATGAGCACCTCCAGGCCAGTGCCCTGGTGGTCAAAGTAGAACTTTGCCCCGGCCACAAACACCGAGGCCAGCACCAGCGAGGCGCACATGCCGCACTTCAGATGACTGGGCAGCAGCTGCGAGTCGGCGTGTTGCAGCAGTGCGTGATGCTGCTGCTGCAGCTGGTTGCTTTGGACCCCCGTCTGTGTTTGTGTGGGCGGTATGGGCGTGGCAGTAGCCGTGACAGAGGCTGTTGTAGTTGCTGCTGTTGCTGCTGCTGCTGCTGCTGCCGCTGCTGCTGATGCTGTGACAGTGGCATGGCGCATATTGCTGCTGGAATTGTGACGTCGCGGTGTTGCATATCGACTGCTGTTGGTGTTGGGGCAGCTGTTGCTGTTGCTGCTGCTGCTGTGGTGGTGATGGTAGGCGCTGTAGGCATCGTCCCTGATGTATCAAATGTTTAATAGCAAAGTAAATAATTAATTAATTTAGCATCAATCAAAATTACTTACGCATAGACGCCTGCATGTTGCTGATGTTGATGTTGCTGCTGATGCTGGTGCTGGTGCTGGTGCTGTTGTTGTTGCTCATATTGCCTTACGGGCACCGCCATGTTGCCAAATTGAGGATGATGATAGCTGTAGCTATAGTGATGCTGCTGATGCTGCTGCTGCTGCTGTTGCTGTTGTAGCTGGTGTTGCTGCTGCAGCTGCTGCAACTGTTGCTGATGATGATGCTGGGGTCTTGGCTGATAGCGCGTGCTGCTGTGCTGATGATAATGCGAGCCATGCGCCACCAGCGGCACAATCGTCCCGCTGCCCGTTAGCACCGCAGCCGATGAGGCGGTGCCGCTCGGATTGTTGTTGTTGCTGGCAGTTGCTGTTGTTGCCATGGCAGCGTTGCTGTTGTTATTGTTGCTACTGTGGTGCAGCAGCTGCTGATGTTGCTGTTGCACACTGGCATGCGCATTATTGTTGCTGCTCGCATAATGCGCGGACTGGCGGCTGGTGCCCGCGCCCGACGACTGGCAGTCGCCCCCATAGGGCGCCGGGCCGCGATGCACCGAGGCCAGCGCCTGATTGTGGCTGCCAGTGCTGCAGCTGCTGCCAGCCGCATTGTTGGCACTGTTGCTGCTGGACTTGCTGCGTCGCGGCGGATGGCCGTAGCTGAGTCCGCCGCCCGCATGCGACAGCGAAGCCGCGACACGTGAGCGCCCAAAACCGCATTGCTGCGAGCGTTTGTCAATCCAGAAATGCATCTCGCTGCGAGCACTCGACGACTGCTGTAAGTAGGAACTTGTGTTAGCAGATTGACGCGAAACTTATTTGAAGTTAATGCTGGGAGTTTGGTTTGCGACGCTCGCCTCTTACGCCCAGACAAAGC